CCGGCTGCCCCGGCGCGCAGGAAGGCCTGAAACCCCCAGACTGCCTGGGGACATCCCTCCTTCCCCAGCCCTGCGGACTCACACCAAGGAGCTGACGCCACGCACGCGTGCCAGCGTTTCCAAGCGTTTAGGAGGCGTGCCGCCCAAGCCCTCCGCTGCCAACCCAACCCCCAGCCTTGCGAGAACTGGGCTCCGGAGAGGGACGGCGTGGCCGGGCATCTCGCAGTCGTGTCCACGCGGCCCTGGAAGCCCCTGGTCTAGGGGGGCCACTGCTGTGGACCAAGCCCAGGCTACTACAGTAGACAGAAATGCCCATACCAGGGAAGGGCTACTCTTCCTGTGTGGCAGCAGAGGGACTGTTCCCAGTAGCCACACAGAAGCTTCCAGAATAGCAGCTGCTGATTTCCTCCACTGAGAAGTGCATGTGTGCGTACACTCGTGTGTGTATGTGTACACATGTGCACCTGCATACATATGCATATGAGTATGTACGTGAGTTCACCTGCGTGTATATACATGTGTATAACTGCATGTCTATACACGTATGTGTGTGCCTACTTCTGTGTGCACTGTCTATGTGAAGACGTGTGTGTCTATGACCATATGCATGCACATGCACACACTCATGTGTGCTCATGAGTCGTGTGTGTGGACACGTGCATGTGTTCATTTGTGTTCGTGCATGCATGTGCTTGCATTTGAATTTGTGTAGATGCGCATGTGTAAATATGTGCATGTGTGTATGCTAGTGCACTTAAGTGTCATATGCATGCATGCACGTGTATACATACGTGCACACGTGTGTGCACGTGTGCGCACAGTCACAGACAGGGTGGGCCGGGAGGGCTCCTTCTGGACAACCTACCCCCCACCTGCTGGGGTGAACACGGGACCCAGATCTGGCTGACCAGAACTGTCTGTCTCTGGGCAATACCGAGTAGCTCAGGGATGGGCGTGTGATCCCCGCCAGGCCAAGGAGACTCGACCCTGAACTCGGGACTCGGGCTGACACACGCAGGGAAGGGAGCGGCTTCTGCGGGCAAAGCACACAGGCGGGCGCGCGCCCGAAGCGGGTGCCCGGGAAGCGAGCGTGGCTGGAAGCAAAGCAAATGCAAGGCCAACAGGCTGTGGCCGGGAAGCCTGGAGAGGCCCGCCCCGTGGCCTGACCACCCGGGGGAAGGCCGGCGCCGGTCCCTAGCAAGCTCTTCACCCAGGCTGCGCTTGAGGGCGGCTCTGGGGCCCAGGACCACGGGCGGGGCGGCTCTGCGAAGGCCACGGGATTGGGAGGGCGACAGATCCAAGCAGCCTCGGGCGCCCTGAGACCCCCGTGCGCGCATCCGC